TTTCTGATACTTGCTCTGCCCTGGAATTTCCCTCTGCCCATGGAAGCGCATATAGGGCCTTGGGAAGAACTGGAAATCATTGCCACTTAGGTTCCACACTGGGGCAACTCTTTGTCAGGGTAAATTTTCGATTTGTTTCCAGCAACAGTGATACATGTAATGAAAATACTATCATGCAGTGAAATCTGGAGTGTAGTTCATGGTAATGTACCAGTGTTGCTGCCTTTGTTTTGATGGCCCAGCTGTGGTCATGTGAATAAAATGTTAAACACAGGGGGCGTGGTGCTGAAGGTGTACACAAGCACTTATCGTCATGGCAACTTCTAAATCCAAAATTAGGGGATGTCAAAAGAATTAAGATGTACTCTGTACATGTAACAACTCCCCACACTGAATGTCATTATTATATACTGGAAACCTGTAGTTATAAAAAGGAAAATTAAACAGTTTTCCAAATAAAAAGTTTTTAAAAAAGGGGTCAGCTTTACCCCTTTCTATGAGAGGGTAAAGTACTCCCCTCTTTCTGTGAAGGGTGACATATACTAAGCACTTTATAACTGTAATATATTTTTATTATATATATAATATTGTATACATTTATATTCTGTTATAATTTATAATTATTGCATTGGAGGTACAGGCTCCAATTCATGTTTCACAGATGAGACAATGAGACTTAGTCAGGCTCATGGATCTTAAATGTCCAATTATAAAAGCCAACCTGTGTTAAGTGTGTCATGACAATATGAAAAAGAATGCATGTGCGCGCGCACACACACACACACACACACACACACACACACACACACGGTATCAGTAAGTCCTACATCACCTGGAACCCACCCTGCTCACTGACTGTGTTCAGCTCAGGGGTTGCCTGGCCTATGTGGGCATTAATGGCCCACATGCCCTCCAAGCCCAATGGATGTGGCACTCTCATCTACAAGAGAACCTGGCCCTCTTGCTTGTGTGCTGCCTCGTCACTTAAGAGTGTGTTGTGTTTTCTGTCTAGAGTCTCCCCAAAGCCTCATGCACTTGTAAGTGGGATTTTCAGAAGGTGATTATGGGGATTATGGTGGATTATGAGGACTTCTAGCTGACTTGATGTCAAGAGGGAGGTCACTGGGGTGTGGTCTGAAGGATCTGTCTCTCTGCTTCCTGTCTGCCATGCCTTGAGTAGCTCTCCTCCGCCAGGCCCCTCTGCCGTGCCATCCTGCCTTGGAGCCAGCCAACCAGGAACCATAAATGTGAGCTAAAATGAATCTTTCTCTTTTAAGTTGTGGGTTCAGGTACTGTGTCTCGATGAGGAAGGTGACTAAGACAGGGTGCAAATCCACTCCCGGCCAAGCTGGGCACACACTCCTCCACTGAATTAGTCAGCTTCACCTTCCTATCACAAAACACCTAAACCAGGCTACTGATGAAGAAAAGGTTATGTAGCTCACAGTTCTGGAGTTCAAGTCCAAGATCAGTGGCTTTGGGCCTCTGGTGAAGATGGGGATGACAATGGCTGCACTTCCTATTGGAGTGAGTGCTCACACTCAAGCCAGGAAGCAAAGGGAGACACAGACCCAGGTCCCGCAATTCCTCATGGCCTCAGAGCTTCCCACAAGACCCCACCTCCTAAGAGTCCATTGCACCTCTCGATAGTGCTGCCGCAAGAATCAAGCCATTACCATACGGACCTTTGGGAAATGCTGCCTACATTCAAACCATAGCACCTATTCATCCAACCACCCATCCATCCCTTTCTTCTTCCATTGCTTGTAAAAACAAGGAAACAAAGCATATAACCAGTCTGTGAAATGCATAACAACCACAGAATCTAATATTTCCCAGAGGTACTAGAAAATCAATTGTTCCAAAACAGGTATTCATCTTTGTTACCCCAAGAAGTGATTCCAAAACAACAATTTCTGGGTCTCACCCCAGGGTTCAGATTCAGAAGGCCGAGCAGGGCCCAGTATCTGCATTTTCCAGATACCCCCACGTCCCTGATCACTGCCAGGTTTGTGGCCTCACTTCACAGATAAATACTTTGGGATATGGCCAGTGGGTCCCTTCACAAGTGCCACTGGGGCTGCGCTCAGGATATCACTGCTCCGGAAGCCCTCTGCTGTTTGCAGACACAGTGTCGTCTGCAAATTCACTCCTCTGCTTCAGTTTTGTCCCCTGCTATAAGGAAGACACTTGCCTGCTTTCTCACTGGACCAGCCCACAGGTGTGTGAAGAGAGTCAGGCTTTTGAAAGTTTTCTCCCTTCTAAGCCAAATACCCGTAGTTCCTCCAATTACTTTTTTAATGGAATGCATTCTCACTGTCCCAGTGCAAACGTGAATCTCTGCACTGGGGTAGTCTCCCGGAGGTGCCTAGGCTTTGACCTCTGAATTGGTGATTATTTTCCAGTCTAGGGTCTTGCTAATAAGAGGTTGACCGTCTAGATGTACCCCCAAAGCCTCAAGCAGTCATGGGGCAGGCTTCTACAGTTTATGATTGATCCATGGTCCAATGCTGGGATTATGGGTGTGAGTACTACATCCGGAGGACAAATGGGCAGGTAGTTTGCATATAGTATAAGGGAGGGACAGAGGCTGCTTGCTGCTCCTCCTCCTTTTTGCTCTTGTTGCTTTGCTGTTCCCCCGCCATGAACTGTTGCCCTCTGCCATGTGCCACTCTGCCTTGGAGCCAGCTGGGTATGGACTGAAACCTCCACAAACTGTGAACTAAATAAACCTTTCTCTCTTTAATTCGGGCACTGGGTATTTTGTCTCAGAGAGAATCAACACAACCAGGGTAAAGGTTCTTGGCCATGGCTATAGCTGGAATCACCTAGGAGCTGCAGAGATCTGCCTAGTGCTTGGTCACCACCCATGAGACATTCTGACATCTCTGATCTGGGGTTCTGCCTAGGGAAAATATTTTTGAAAGGTTCCAGGTGATTTTGATGAGTAGCCAATGTTGGGAACTACGGGTATAGAAGGACACCGATTTTTGCTATTCTGTTAGTTCCCCCTAAACGCCCTCACACTCAACCTTTGCTCCTGAGTGCCTGCACAGCCAGGTCTTCCTCGTAGCATACTGCAGAAGTTGGTTAGCTGAACTTGACTGCCAAGCTTTACACTTACTCCTGGTAAGCATCATCCTTTGGTCTGGCCCATTGTTGCAAGGCTGCTGAAGGTCATGCCCAGGGAGAAGCACACTGACTGTCTGCTCTCTCTCTAACTCACAGTCTTTCCCAAGTTCACGTAAAACATGGGTGAAATTACGGATCTTTGGGAGATATGCTAATGAAAACCATTTGGGAATCAAATCATATTACCTGCTCTTGAAGCACCTAGGTATTCTTTTACAGGTAAGTTGCCGACACTAAAGATTTATGGTCTCACGTAAACCATGAGAACGGCATTTATTGCAGAAATGATGTGTCCAACAGCTCTCCCAAGTGCTCTGGTGGTAAGTGGGAACTGAGGCCATTAAAATGGACTGCCAGGGTACTGCCAGGTGATGCCATTTTCCCCATGTGACCTCTCCAATGTGACTACAGATCATCTGTCATGCACTCATACTAGCGCAGAAGCTCTGAGCCTCCAGATGCATCTACATCAGTGGTGACACATGTGTCATGGCCGGAGGACAAACGGGGAAGTGGTTTCTTCAGAGCTGTAAGGTCTCTGACCGCTCTGAGAGTATCAGCTGCCTTGGTATGAAGGAGGGGGCTCCATGGCAGAACACAGAATGTTCCAGGGAAGTCCAGCAGGTTAGAGAAGGAGTTTGTAGTCTTGTCATTTTGAAAAATGCTAGGTTAATATTCACAATAGTAAACCTCTTGTTGAAGTACCATTTCCTTTTCTTCTCCTGTTTTTTAGGGAGGCTGACTTTGTACCATTATATCTCAATCCGGCCTGTGCTGTCCCCCGGGCCTCTGAGGAAAGCCAGCCACTGTGCGCTCCCAAGGGAGCCCATGAATGATGCTCCTGTTGTAAAAACCACACACAGCCCACACTGCTCGCAGGATCAGAGAGCTCGCGCAGCCTCTGCACACTGGCCTCGCAAAGCAGGGGACCAGCTCTGCTCCTCTATTCAGCTGACACTTAAAGCCCACAACCCAGGGTCACCTGAGGGAAGGCAGCCTCTGACAGGGCTCTTCCAGGCCCTACAGTCACTGAATGCCCCTGAGGCTATTTTGCACCAGATTGTCACCTGTAGAGAAGACTTAGGGTCTTCAACAACAGGTTTCCTTTGCTGCCAAAAGCCATTTTTTCCGGGCATTTCTCAAATTCATGTTCAGTTTACAATCAACTCCCTATGTGTCTGCCCATGTACGATTTTTTTTAAATCATAAGAACTTTCTATAAAAGGTTCTATTTTAGATAAGGTTACACCCAATTTTGCATTCTACAGTATGTAGTTTTTCTGGATGTTTTTGTATCTCCTTCTTCTCCTCCCCAGGTTGACATTTTATTTAAAGGATAGACTGAATATTATTTTTACCCAATCTGCTGTTGATGGACATTTAGGTCATCCCTAATCTTTTAATACTGCAGGGGATGTCTTTGTTCATTCGTGTGATAAATCAAGGCAAAAATGTGTGTAGTACACTGGGCTTTGTATCTTTCAAAGCAGTTTTTAAATATAATGAAATACAATACAGAAAAGTCTGTAAGACACATACATATCTCACAAGTATCTGTAAGGTAAGCACAAGTGAAATATTACCAACACTCCTCAAATCCTCTACAAGCTTCCTCTCAACCCCCACTGTCCCCCCAAAGGCCACTGCTATCTTATTTTCTGAGAATCATATATAATTTTCATGAAAAAATGCACTTTGAAAAATTGTAAGCCAGAGGGGGGAAAAAAGTAAAGAGAGAACCCAAAACACATAGAATTTCACCAAATAATCTTTTAAGGCTGCTGGGCCTCTCCTAGTGTCTTGCCTTTCAATTTTGCTCCTGGATGCTGCTTACAAGGACAAGGAGGGGGGAACTCAATGGTACTCACCATAGGGCGAGTCGTTGCTCGATTTCCTTGAGAAAGTTGGTATGAAATTTGTGCAAAGGCTCAAAATTCGGGAATATGAGACTTTTCAGCGTTTCCGGCATGGAGTCCTCTTTGCTCGCTGTGCTCTGAAACCACTGGGAAGGGGAACAGGAGGAGTCAGAGGTGTCGGGAGAAAGGGTGGCAGCACTTGGGCAGCCACGCTGCAGCCCTGCGCAATGGGAGGACCAGGCGGCGGGGAGGTTTTCAGCCTCCTGAAAACATAAGGGGATTTACGTATAATGGTACAAAGGCCTCATGCCTCCCCTGCTCTATGCAATGGGGTAAGCGCCCCTCTCTATACTACTGCTTTTTGATTTCTTCCCCTGAGAGTGTTTAGGCCAGCATGAGTTCCTCACACAGGCTGCTACTTGGATCCAGGCCTCTCTTCTTGGCCTACTCACTGGATGTCACTGGTTTATGCCCACAGAACACTCTTGCTTTGCTGTTTTGGGAGCGGCTGCCTCTGCTCCTCTGTTAAATGCTGAGCATGAAGGAGGCCACAGCAGGGGACAGACCGGCCACTTGCACAGAGTCCTTAGGTCACTGAGATAGAGGGGTTGGGGGCCGACAGTGTTCGCAGGACTGAACAGGAGGCCCGTCGCAGGGAGGACAGAAATTCAGTGGTTCCAATGAACTTCCAACTGGCCAGCTCTTTCCCACAATGCAGGGGTCAGAAAGCCACCCGGAATGCTGGGTTTTGCTTCCAAGACTGAACAGGATTGATTACAATAATAAAACGCAGTCTTCTGGCAGATTCTGCTGACGTGGCTCAATTTATCAGCAAAGATAAAATGAGGCTTCTATTCGTTCCTCCCTCGACCAAAAATAAGCAGTTTACATTTGACAACGGGCAAAACACACAATGTTCTGGGTTGGTGTGTTCAGACAGTAAAACGCTTAGTTTTAATTTTCTCGACTTTAAGAACTTCCTTCCTTTGCACTTAAAACTACAATTATAAAATTTTTATGGAGTATATTTCAAATTAAATCTAAGATTAGCATTAAGTTCCATAACCCAGGACCAAAATCCTTTCAACTGAAGTCAGAGGAGGTAGCACTTAATTAGCTCCAGCTTCTCTGCTGAAGCTGAGTACTAGTTTAGATAAATGAAGTAATTTAATTCTTTAGAGGAAATACTGCACATACCGAAGTGATGACCTCGAGGTCCTTCAGATACGTCCGCTCTGTGGTGGAGACCTCTTTAGCAATGTAGTATGCCTTGTCGGTCGGAAATCTCTGCAAAATCCATCAAAGAAAATGAGACGCAACAATCACTTCTGAGTGTCAGTCTCTGAGACTATCCAGATCATAAGAAAGTCCTGATTACAGTGATGGATTACTAACTTAACGATCTTTTGTCAGCCAGCAAATACATTCTTTTTTATTCTCCTTTTTGTGTTAGAGGAAGGAAGACAAAAGAATGGGTGTCGTGGTGAGACTATGGTCTAAGAATGTAACTGTTACCATCAGCTCCGGGACTCAACTTAGTAAGGGAACAGAGTTATGCAGTCCTCAAGGGGACACAACAGAGAAACGAGGGTCCTTTGTCCTGGGACCACAGCCAGCAGTGTTGGTGCTCAGGAAATCTCTCGAAATGCAAGTTAGGGTGTTTGTGGGGATACCAAGGGTGGCTGGATGGGAAGAGACAGGGTGAACTTGGCTGTGATGCCATGGTGACTTGATCCCCTTAGCCTATCAGCTTTCGGGAAGGGCATCTGGGTCCACACTGAAACAAGGATAAACCTCAAGGACAGTACGCTGGGTGGAATAAGCCAGGGGCAACAGGACAAATCCTGTAGGACTCCACATATACGAGGTACCTAGATGGCCGGGCATGGTGGCACATGCCTATAATCCCAACACTCGGGAGGCTGAGGCAGGAGGATCATTGCAAGTTCAGGACCAACCTGGGCTACAAAGTGAGCTCAAGGCCAGCCTGAACTGCATAGTGAGACTCTGTCTCAAAAAGACCAAAAAAAAAAAGAGATACCTAGAATCACACTCAGAAGTGCGAAGGAGAATGGAGGTTGCCAGGGGCTGGCTGGCACGGGGAACTATCCTTTAATAGGAACAGATTTTGCTGGGGAAGATGAAAAAGACCTGAAGATGGATAGGGGTGATGATTTTGCGAAAATGAGAAAGTACTAGTGAACTGTACCCTTTAAAAGGTACTTTAATAGTATCACTCTCCCCAGCCCCATTTATTGAAGAACATCTGTGCCTACTCACACACACGTGAACACACACGCACTCGCACACGCACACAGACGTTCAGCCAGCACCTTCCTCCGGCCCTCCTCCTCGTCATCGGTCCTCGGGCACGCCTGGTCGTTCAGCAGCGGGCTGATCAAGGGCGAGGCCTGCTTGGTGTCGGGGCTCAGGTTGGGAGACAAGGTCACCGTGGCGGGGACGGCTCCTCCCTGCGAGTTGATGGACAGCTCTGAAAGGTGAGGGCTACCAGTCAGGGAGCCTGTTTGAGAATGAGAAGTTTTAAAGAAAAAAAAAAAAAAGAGTAATTCCTTCTAGGAGTTGATTTCTATTTGCAACTTTCACCTTTTCAAATCTTTAGAACCTTGGCTACCATATGGCAAAGTTACTGCAGTCATTATTTTCTAGTTTTTTTTCCCCCCTAAGTTGCAGCTGTCCTAATAGAAACACCCAAGTATGCACAATTCCATGGAGCCCCAGTTATATAACTAAGGAGAAGACAGAGACTTCTGCGTAGATAACAATTAGAATAGCTTAAAAGCATAGTACAGCCCACAATCATATTTCCACCTCTGAACTACTGCCTTTACTTCTAAGAATTACTCAAGAAAGACACAGTATCTATATAACAAAGAGACACAGAGAAATGAGTAGAAAATAGAACTAAACTAACAGGCATCTAAGTGACTGGTGTACGTAGGACAAACTACGTCTTGTAACAATGGGTAACAGCTAATGGAAAGGTCAAGCAACTAACTCCCCACTCTACAAAGAACAGAAGCAAGCTTGTTATACCTGGTGATGTCACTCCATGTCTGTCACTGTTTGGGACAGAAACACTAGTATCACATTACATGTAATGGTGGTCATTTAAAAATGCAAGATGAAGGTTATTACATTGTCACAGTTCCTCTTTGTAAATGGGAATAAATTGATGCGTGAAAAATGGTACTGTATTAAATAATAGAAAAAAAAATATATATATATATACATATTACTCATTAGAAGCCAGCCAAAGAGGTGATAGATTACAGGATACTCTTTACCAATATACATATGCAAATTATACCTCAACCCTGAATCTACATGGGGTGTTTCAAAATATACTTCTCATCTGCTTGTTTTGACCTAACCCGTACATCTGTAATTCCGATGCAGCCTGGCTAGCGCTAATGTTAGGTAAACACAGTTACCATGGTAAGGAAAGAAGGTCAAGGCTTCTCCACTTTTCCGTGTACAGTTTCAGGCGCCCTGCTACTCAGCACGCTGAAGGACTCCAAGGCAAAGGTAAAGCAGGGCAACTCCGGGCAGCGGCCCCCTTTGCCTGACAGCTGTCCTCTCTCCCTTGGGAGTCACTCAGATGAGTCTCCAAGAGAATGGAGCTGACCAAGGAAGGGCAGTGTATTTGGCCCCCAAAGACTGAGCCACGGGGAGAAAGAGGTCCCCACCCCCATTGTTAGTCAGCGGTGTCAGGCACCGCACCCGGGAAACCACCAAGAGCGATGACGTCCTTCCTGCCCATTGACAACTGGTCGGTACCATGATCCTTGAGTCACAAGACTAGAAAATGTGAGGAAAAGGCAGGGTTAAAAAGTTTGCATTTAAAAAAAATCCTCATGCTTTTAACAAACCTCACTGAAACGAAGCGCTAGTGTTAGACAGAGATCCAATGACCCCACACACCACCAAACCCAGAAACCCCGGAGAAAAAGGCCAGAAATCGCTTCACAAATGTCAATTTTATTGACACTAGTGCACAAGTTGAGTACAATTGTGAAAGAATCGGAACTTATAGATAGAAATAGTGACAACAAATTAGAACTGCAATTGTTCCAAGGTACTACGCTATTCTTTTTTTTTAAAAATCACAAAAAGAAAAATGTTATCACTACAAATAGGAGTTAGGGAAGAGAAATTCTGGCAATTTGTCTAGAGATCAAAACATTCCATGCATTTGTGAGCTGCGGATTGAGAGTCACTTTTTAGTTGTCCACCAATGATCCAGCCAAACGCGGGGCTCACGGCGCGCACTCACCCTGCGTGGGAGTGGGGTGAGGCAGACACAAGTGACAGCATGCTGGGCCTTGAGTTGGCTGTGACATGGGACAGAAAAGGCATTCACCTCACCAGTGAAAGAGTCGGAACCAAGAATAAAAAAGCTGTTAGTGACCAGCTGAGGGGGAGTGGGCGGTGAGGAGACAAGAACGATCAGGCCCTGGTCGGCATCCAGCAAGAGACAGAAAATAAACTGCCACACAGCAAGAGGGGATCTAAAGTGCACACATTCAAATATATCCAGTCCTACCCCGAGGATCAAACGCTAAAGCCCTTGCTGAAATCCACCTGGGCACATTCACAGTTTGTGGACTGCGCAGAAAGGGTAAGGCAATAGACCTGTTCTAGGAAAGGTGCCACCCTGCTGAGAAGGCGTGATGTGTTTCAAAGAAGGGAGGCAGTTAGATTCGGAGATGTCCCCACGGACTCCACGGGAGCTGAAATCCGGAAGGCCGCTTGCGAGCCTTCTATTTGCCTGTGTGTCTGGGTAACGTAGCGGCCAGCTAGAGTCAGCCTGCAGGCTGTTGGCTACATGTCACTCCCGCAGTCCAAAGGTGTGCGTGACCACCTACTTTATGCATGCAGGATGGACACGTGGGGAATGACCAAGCTAGGGCGGCCAATGTCCTTTTCCTGAGAGGGGTCTGTATCGATTCATAGGGCCTAAAAAGGAAGGGCGCTGGGTGTAAAGCGTAAGACCAATAAATTGATAAACATGTCTTCTCTACAAAACTATCAGCAAGTCTAAGAAAGGTGAAGGTCCAAATCTCTGAGGTTCAATTTTGCAAATGGGAGCCGGTTCCATAGATATGGGATCCCCCTTCTTCTCTGCAAGAGAAACTACATGAGGCTTTGAAATTTTATAGAGGACGTGTTACTCACGTACCACTCAGAAATCCACCGAGTATCTTGACGAGGGTAATTAGTAGAATTTGGCAGCTTGGTGAATAATTAAAATTGTTTTGACTTTGAGCCAGAGCACTGACAAGGGTCTGCACAAACCTGTGTCCACAGGCGCAGGTGTGATGGGCGGTTATAAAGAAAGCCAATGTTCAAGGTCAGAGTCATTAGAACTATAACATCAGAACTTCCATTTTCACTGAAGTAGTCCATTTTACAAAGCAGCAAGAAGTGTGTTCCTGCTGTTAGATAACGTGAACCTAATCTGACTTATCCAGCACTATAAAGCTTGTGCAATTCCGAAGTCTGTCACCAGCTTTAAAGGCACAGCTCCAGGCAACGAGGAAAGGAAACTGTGACCTGTGTCCTGTTACTCAGTGACATTATTAATGGCTTGGTATTGTTCTCACTTCTTTTTTATAACAAATCAATGAAAAGTAGTATCTTTTATCAGGGCGAATAATTTTGGCAAACAATTTTGGGGAACCGTAGGAGGAAGCACCTGGATATTAAGGCAATAGGTGGAAAGAAGTTTAAAGATTAGAAAAAGATTAGTTACACCCCAGATTTCTGGAACTTTCTAAAGGTTTTAATAAACATGCTTCGCACTTTCAGCAATCCCCCCGTCTCCACCCCAGCACTCACATTTCAGGTTAATAACTCCAAATCCTTTCCTCTTCCTAATGATTTCAGGAGCCCCCACCCCCCGCTGCCATGAATCTGGATGAAGTTTGGGATTATGTCGGCCCAGTGGACTGGCAATGCTTCCACTAACACTGCTCTCAAAGGAGGCATTTCTGGTAATTGCTTTTTAAAATCCTTTTAAATGTACTTTCTCATTGCACAAACAATTACGGAGTTTCAAATTAGCACAGCTATATTTATGGATTTCAATTTATCACCCAGCCAAGAAACTGCCTTTGCTGTTCTCTCTTTTTTAGTTTAAAATATATTCATAATTCTTTTCTCCTGGTCCTGGGGAGGCTGTGCTTCTGGTACCATCTCTCGACCTGCTCTTTATTGAAAATATTGACACGCACCGAGTGGGAGGTTCTTTATCTGCCAGGTGACTTTATGACTTTTGTCCCCACGGGATTGGGCACAAACTTCGTACTAACCACCTCCTTTTCAACTTGTACTAAAGACTTAAAAACTCATACAATTCTGGGAAAAGAAAATATTTGTGATCTATTTTCTTGGTAGTAAAAATGGCATTTCACATACTTAAACTTGCCCATTTTATAAACTAGGCAGTAAGTTGGTGATTTCTAATTTTTAACTAGATACATAACTTTCCTGCAAAAGAGGGAACAGTAAAATTTGATAATTTTTCAAATAGTCTTCTGCAATCAGTTTGTTAAATACATAAGCATTTGAGAATGAGAATACTGATGAAAAGAGAATATGGATTGTTTTCTCAGTGTCTCTTTTCAAAAAATTTTCAATATTCTCTCAAAGTATTTCTTCTGGAAGTTTCTAGATGCTACTCCTCTATCATGATTCGCCTCTTGTTATTTGGTTCTAAGACACAGGTAATTTTACCTGTGTACCTAGAATATGTTCCAAAGGCACATACAGAAAATACATTAGAAATGCAGGCTTTCGTGATTTTTAAAAGGCTCCTTTTAAACCCACCTCTCTCTAAAAGACAACACAACAAAATCTCTCTAGAGAGGATCTGTTTTGAAAGCCAGTTATCAAAAGATCAGTATTATGCTGAACCAGACAGGTATCCAGAACAGTTAAGTATTCTGCTATCTACACTGGGTTCCTGCCCAGTGGCATCTATGAAAGCAGCTGGCAGTATTTGATTGAAACTACAAAGTCCCACACGAAAAACCAGGTCAGGTTACCAACTTTAGCAGTGTTCTCCTCTTCTTGATGCCTTAGGTTGCTGAGGGGTCATGTGTGTGTGTGCTTCTCAGACCCAGTTCCTTTAAGACAAGTTTTACAAGCGGCTAAGCATCCCCTTCACAGTTCATCATGAAGCAATTCAGAAAAGCAACAGGGATGTGCTTGCAGGAAAATACAAAGAGAAACGTCACACTAATGGAAAATGGTGGAGAATGCACAAGCTTGTTCTTACTTAGGGGGAAAAGATAAAGGAGAACGCTCCTCTGCTGGAAGATGGTGCTGGTGGTGCTGGTGGAGGAGTTGGTGTAGGGCTGGGGCTGGGAAACATTGGTCCTTCGTGCCAGTGAAAAAGAACCATCTTGTCCTCAGGGCAAAATTTCAGCCATCAGTGGGAAAGAACAGTTACAATGGGCAGTTTTTACAGCAAGATACCTGTCAGGACACGTAAAAGCT